ATAAACTGTTGAAAATCTGTTTCCTTTTGTCATTTGCAAGACTCCAGAAAAATTGTGCCAAAATGACTGAATATGAATATTCTAAGTGTGGGCTGATGCCACTATTGCAGCAGAACACACTAGGAACACTGGGAGCTGCCAGAGCAGCCATAGTGGGAGTGGAAAAAGTTGGGAGAGAGTTACAGGCTAGGCTTCCTCAAGACCTAGTACCTAGTCCATTTTTTCCTTTCTATTCTCGAGGGCTATTGTGTGAGGCAGGAGCTCCTCTAGTCCCAGGGAAGGAAGGGAGAGAGAGAGCCCGGTCATACCCAGCACCTGGCCTTAGTGGCTCATTTTCCTTCCCACTTCCTGTCCCTTCCAGGATAACAGCTGCCAATTAATGTAGTTTACTACTATTTGAATGACAGAACTATCTGTGCTGCAGTGTTGAAGACCTAAGATTCACTGATGATGATAGGGTGGGTGGAGTTTATTCCTTTTAAAAACATGCACACACATTCACACCCCCAAGTAAGGAGCTCTTACTTTAAAAAACTATGTTTAAAGAATATTATTTAGGTAGCAAAGTCAAGCATTCAAACGTTAGGAATTAGAAAATTTGAGGTTGACTGACCAACCTAAATTCTGCCTCTGTGGGTATCTGCATGATGATAGTCTCTTAAATACACACACCATTTTTTCCCATGGTATTCATGCCTCCTTCAGCACACAGGATGGGCGCGCAGAGACAGAATTAGGTTATGCACTGTTGTATGAAGGCCTTAAGAAAAAATTTGGGTAAATGGTATCTTCTGAGAGGAACAGGGTACCCAGGGCAACCATGGGTATGAAAGCTAGTTAAATCACAGTTGCTATATTAGTTTAAAATCAAGTTTCTTCTTTGATAGTAATATTCCTTTGCTTTCTTGTGTTTCATGCACCTTATTTGTGTTTTCTAGAGTGGTACTGGTAAAGCCAGTTGTCTAGCCAACCACCTCTGTTGAGCTGAGCAGATAATGTAGTCTGTGGAGATCCAGGTCTCCATAGAGCTGGTTGGTGCAGGAACAGAAAATATCTACAGTCAGTATATACTCAGACAATTCTTCTGTAGTGTGCTATTCCCTCACCTGGAATTTTGTAAAACTACAGTGGAAAGATTAAAAAGTACCTAATCCCCTAATCACACCCTTAATTTAAAGGTTAAAAATGTATAGGTTCACCTGTGAATAACTCTATCAGAGTGTTTCTGTCATGCTCTCTACAACAACAGACAGAGTGGAAGGCGACCGCATTAAAACAAATATTTCTCCCTCCAAAAACACCACCTTATGGATAGTTTCTGATGCTAGGGGAATGTCCGGTAAGCATTCTTAGCCATTTTGCACCAGAAATCGACATCTGCTCTTATTTCTGTTTTCCTATTTTTAAAAAAAAGGGGGGGGGCGGGGGAGAAGCTTGTATTGCACATTAAGGATGCAGGTTCTCTATTCTATAGTCCATACTATATGTAAATTTAAAAAGGATCCGTAGACACACTGTATGTTCATCCACATGCTTATGCAGGACTAGAAGTAAACTGTAAATAGGATTAATTTTACTCACTAATGACTCTGGATCTTTTTAATAAGAGTTTTTCAAAAAAAAAAAAGCCCGTCTGTGAGCACACGGGGGGGAATGGGAATTTCAGTGCATTTCTAAATCTGTTGTGCTCAAGCGGTCACATGTAAAATGTACATGTTCAGCTGTAGTTCATGCACTTAAATGTATAGAACTGTCAGAAATAGTGCTGAAAAAGCCAGATCTAGTCAAATAGCAGATCTATGATGATAGGCCATAAAGATGGAACAAGTGCAAAATTTGGAGAACAAACATACAACTAGATTTTGCTGGCCTTGATTAATAATAATGTAATCATGTTTATTACCATAGTGCTTAAGGGCCAACCAAGAACGGGGCCCTCATGTGCTAGGCACGGTACAAAGGGAGCAGTAGACCATCCCTGCCTCTAAGAACTTAGTCTCAATAGACAAGACTGACACAAGACTGTGGGGAAGGAATATAGCGCACAGAGCGAACAATGTGGTGATAGCAAGTGTGTTACACAGTTTTTTAGGGGGAGGGAGATTTACTTGGAAGGGGATAAGCAAAGTGGAAAGAAAAAGGAAGAGGGGGATGAAGGAGACAGCAGAGGAGAAGAGGGAAAGAGGAGCAGATTCAGAAGAAGTGAAGAGACTAGAGGGAGGTGTAAAACAAAAGGGGGGGGGAAATGTTTTCAGATTAGAAAATAGTTGTAAAGGCAATTTTGATGTTATCCACAACAGTCCATGGAAAGTAAGAATGTAGAGAAAGTTGCACAAGCAGTTAAATGTAGTTTTGGCATGTTTGTTGTCTTTTGTCTTAATTAGTTGGATAGCTTGCAGTCAGTGCTGTTTAGGCTGCCAGTAATGGATGAGAATGTGGAAGATGATTCTGTTTTAGAAGTTCTGATGATGATGGCAAAGAAATAGCAGTGCCAAAAGATGTGCAATTTGTGTCTTCTTTTCTCGATAACTTGTCAGTTTTAAAATGCTCTTTCGCAGCAAGGAGCCCTGATTCTCAGGTGCTTTCTACCTGAATGTGTGCAAAGTAGAGTTAACTGAAGAACAGAGAAGGCTGGTAGATTTCACTGCTATGTGAAACCTTCTGCTGACCACTCTCTCCCATTAGAAGAAAATGCTAAAAAATCTGCAGCACCCTTCAAAGAATGGATCCAAGTAAGGATTGGTTCAGTCTTCCCTCAGAGTTCCCCAGTGCCCAAACTATTTTCTTGAGGTAGATGCAGAAGAGAAGATTTGCCTATAATGAAGATCAAATTCTAATTTGGCAAATGTAAGATAGCATTGTGAATTAACAGAAGTCTTATCAGAAATGTGAAATGTGATTTTTCAAAAAAAAGGTTGATAGGGTTTTTATTTTAATTTGTTGCAAGTAATCAATAAGTAATTGTTATAACTGATGAGCTTCCTTATTTAGGTCATTATAATGTACTTCTGAGAGAAGCTTTAACAAGACTTCAGATTTCTATCTCTAATAGTGTGATTATGTATAAAATCCCTTTCAGGTTAATTATTTTAAAATAAACATGTATGCAAGAGTAGTGCTGTTCTGGAAAGAGTACTACACTACCAGTGTATTTCCGGTATCCAGCATACAACATTTTTGTAAGAGTATATTACACTGAAATATTGACTTAATTTTTTGATGATATGCCTGATGTGCAGGGGCATACTTATTTATTTGGAAAGATGAGGTCAGCTTGATCATATTTCTTAATCTCTAGAAACATTCCAACTGGGCGCACTTCTAAACCTTATTTGCACAAGTTTGTGTGCATATTTATAGCAGTTAAATCTTGAACTAAGCTCTTTGGATTCTCCTCTGGCTATTGGATTTATTCCATGGCTAGTAGGCAAGGTGGATAGACTTTGAAATCAAGGTGATTTTTAAATCTCTGCACTTAATTGTGATTTAAATAAATAGCTAAAACTTTTATTTAAATTTAAGATTTTAGTATTTTTTTTCTTAATGTCCTAATGAAAAGTGTATTTTTGTTTGGTAGTTGAGCCAAAACATGTTTATTTGAACAATTAAAAGTGTAATACTAGACATCTACCAAGCTAATACTGCTATTTTATAACATGCTTGTGTGACCTTTACCATGACAGAAATGAAGATTGTAAAAAATGTTTTAACATGGTTCCAGCAAAATTACTTTTTAACCCAGTGTTTAAAAGGCCATTGTCAGTGTGGTGATATGTTAAACCATATTTTACAGTATCTTAAACATGAAAATGAGCAGCAGCTTCTGAGCAACAAGAAGATTGGGGGTTGTCTTTAAATCTTTGTGTTCCTGACAAGAGCATCCTTGAGTGTCTCCTGGTCCTGTCAGTGAATTTTTGGGCTGATCACACCATAGGCATGTTTGGAGCAGAAAAGGCACTGGAAGCTATAAAAGAATGAGAAGCAGAAGAAAGAATGAGAAATAGAAATGGGAGAGAATTTAAAAGCACCAAAAAAATTTCAAGAGGAGGAGGACAGAATATATATGCAAACAGGAAAGGAACAATAAGTATGGTAACATTTAGACAGGAAAGGGAGGACAGTAAGAAATAAAAAGTAGCAAAGCCTTCTACCAAATGACTTAAAATCTTAAGTGTAAGTACCTTGAAAGGAGGACCCTTTTCTTCTCTCTGTTCTAACTCCAAGTCCATTTTTGGCATTTAATTTTTTTAAACATGTGGGACCGAAACCTGCAGTGTCAGCCATTGCAACTGAAACAGGTCATAGGATTGGGCCCCATTGAAAAACTTGGAGAAAGCAGCAACACACAGTTGTTAAATCCCCAAAACGTTTGTGCAAGATGAGGAAATACGGACATCCTGTGTGAGGAATATAAGCTGTTATACAAACATTGTGTGGATTAAAAACTTATTCAAGGTTTCTTCTGCTGCTTCTGCTGCAGTGGTGATTGATGGAGGAGGTTACAAATGTATAGCTAAAATAGAGATGTGCCAGCAAGCAGCAACTAAAGCTGCATATTTTGAGAAAAAATGCATTTATAAAGTATCTGTTTGTTGAAAAGTGACCTCCAGTAATAACTTAACTTTGTGTTCATGTAATAATTCCTCAGTGTACCATCCTGCAATTCAAAAACTGGATGGCTGCTTACTTTTCATAAGTCTCTTAACTTTGGGAGAAAATTTGCACATCCTTTGCTTTTCCAGATGACACATTCTGTTCATTGTCCTGATTTCTGTTATTTCTATACTCTTCATATACAAACTTAGAATTGGCTATAGAATTATGTAACATCACTCTTTCTTCCAAAATCCACCAGGATTAGATTTAATTCTAGATTATTAATTGTTTTACCTGGTCAGTTTCAGTATCTCTGATATTTGTGAATAGATTTGTGATGTTTACAAAATATTTTGGAAGGCATGACATTAATCTAGAGTTATTTCTTATGTTTTCCTTGCCAGGAAGAAGGCAATATCAAAGAGATTGCAATAACACATCATGTAAAGGAAGGACATGAGAAAGCGGACCCATCACAGTTTGAACTTCTTAAGGTTCTAGGACAGGGTTCTTTTGGAAAGGTATGTTGTACATATTTTTGTGGGTGGGTTATCAAAAGGGAAGTCAGAAGCCCTTGGAATGGACAGTAATAAGGGTGAAATATTTATAGCAGTCAGATTTTTATATTCAAGCCTTAGTCCAGGTCAAGATTATTTTCTAAATTGGTCTTCACTAACAAAGTGCTCAGGCTCAGGCAGATCCTTTTGAAACCAGTAAATCTGTTCCAAATTTAGCTATTCTGTAAACCTCAAAAAGATTCCTGAATTCTCTCCTTGTGCAACTCTGGTATAAAAGTTTTCTGAAGTTAAGATATTCAGTATTAAGATGGAAGAGTATATTCATCCTGAATAGATCCATTCCATGTATCTTTAACGTACTGTCAGACCTGAAAGAAAAAACAAGTGGTAGGCAGAATGGCCATCAGTAAGGAAAAAGTATTTCACAATGTAGAATGGCTCTAGTTTTGTTCATGTGTTACAGAAAATGGGGTTTGGTCCTATAGTCATTGAATTAATAACAACGAAATTTAGAGCTGTCAAGCGATTAAAAAAATTAATCGCACAGTTAATCACACTGTTAAACAATAATAGAATACCATTTATTTAAATATTTTTGGGTGTTTTCTACATTTTTAAATATATTAATTTCAATTACCACACAGAATACAAAGTGTACCGTGCTCATTTAATCTTTATTTTTGATTACAAGTATTTGCACTGTAAAAGAACAGAAGAAATAGTACCTTTCAATTCACCTAATACAAGTACTGTAATGCAATCTTTATCATGAAAGTTGAACATACAAATGTAGAATTATGTACAAAAAAACCTGCATTCAAAAATAACAATGTAAAATTGTAGATCTTTCAAATCCACTCAGTCCTACTTCTTGATCAGCCAATTGCTCAGACAAACAAGTTTGTTTCCATTTGCAGGAGGTAATGCTGCCTGCTTCTTGTTGACAATATCACCTGAAAGAAGGGTTGCCAGGTGTCCGTTTTTTGACCAAAATACCTGGTCGAAAAGGGACCCTGGCAACTCCGGTTGGCACCACCGACTGGACCATTAAAAGTTCAGTCGGTGGTACTGCGGATCTAAGACAGGCTAGTCCCAACCTATCTTGGTACCATGCTGCGCCCCGGAAGTGGCCAGCAGGTCTGGCTCCTAGGCGGGGGGGCCACGGGGCTCTGTGTGCTGCTCCTGCCCTGAGCACCGGCTTTGCACTCCCGTTGGCTGGGAACCGCAGTGAATGGGAGCTGGGGTGGTGGTGTCTGCAGGTGAGAGCAGTACATTGAGCCTCCTGGCCCCCCCCGCCTAGGAGCCGGACCTGCTGCTGGCTGCTTCCGGGGCGCAGCATGGTGCCAGGACAGGCAGGGAGCCTGCCTTAGCCCTGCTATGCTGTTGACTGGGAGCCTCCTGAGGTAAGCCCGCGCCCCAACCGCCTGCCCCAGCCCTGAAACCCTCCCTCAAACCCAGAGCCCCCTCCTGCACCCCAAACCCCTCAGCCCCAGCCCAGAGCCCGTCCCCCCACCCCCAAATACCCTGCCTCAACCACGGCCCCCTCCCGCACTCCAAATCCTTTGGCCCCACCTTCTAGCCTACACCCCAAACCCTTCATTCTCACCCCCACCGAAGAGCCTGCACCCCCACCCAAGAGCCCAAACCCTTCCCACACCCCATCCCCCTACCTAAACCTGCAGCCCTTTCCTGCACTCCGAATCCCTAATTTCTGGCCCCAGTTAGAGCGCTAACCCCCTTCTCCAGCCCAGTGAAAGTGAGTGGGTGGGGGACAGCGAGCTACCAAGGGAGGGGGAATGTAGTGAGGTGGGAGCGGGGTGTCAGTGAAGGGGCAGGGCTAGGGTGTTCAGTTTTGTGCGATTAGAAAGTTGGCAACCCTATCTGAAAGTGAGAACAGGCCTTCTCATGGCACTGTTGTAACCGGTGTCGCAATATGAATTTTTAGTGCATCTGGCACGTAAATATATGTCCCTTCATGCTTTAACTACTGTTCCAGGGGACATGCGTCCATGCTGATGACAGGTTCTGCTCAATAACAATCCAAAACAGTGCAGACGATGCATGTTCATTTTCATTATCTGAGTCAGATGCCACTAATAGAAGGTTGATTTTCTTTTTTGGTGTTTGGGGTTCTGTAGTTTCCGCATCGGAGTGTTGCTCTTTTAAGACTTCTGAAAGCATGCACCACAGATCGTCCCTCTCAGATTTTGGAACTTGACACTTCAGATTCTTAAACTTTGGGTCAAGTGCTGTAGCTATCTTTAGAAATCTCATGTTGGTACCTTCTTTATGTTTTGTCGAATCTGCAGTGACAGTGTTCTTAAAATGAACATGTGCTGAGTCATCATCTGAGACTACTATAACATGAAATATACAGCATAATGTGGGTAAAACAGAGCAGGGGACATACTGTTCTCCCCCAAAGAGTTTAGTCTCAAATGTAACTAACGCATTTTTTTTTTTTTTTTTTTTTGAGTGAGCGTCATCAGCATGAAAGCATGTCCTCTGGAATGATGGCCAAAGCATGAAGGGGCATACAAATATTTAGCACATCAGGCACACAAATACCTTGCAATGCCGGCTACAGAAGTGCCATGCAAATGCCTGTTCTCACTTTCTGGTGACATTGTAAATAAGAAGAGGACAGCATTTTCTCCCGTAAATGTAAACAAACCTGTTTGTCTTAGCAATTGGCTGAACAAGAAGTAGGACTGAATGGTCTTGTAGGCACTGAAGTTTTACATTGTTTTGTTTTTGAGTGCAGTTACGTAACAAAAAAAATCTACATTTATAAGTTGCACTTCCATAACAGAGATTGCACTACAGTACTTGTATGAGGTGAATTGAAAAATACTAGTTCTTTTGTTTCATTTTTACAGTGCAAATATTTGTAATCATAAATAATATACACTTTGATTTAAATTACAACACAGAATACAATATATATGAAAATGCAGAAAAAATCCAAAATATTTAATGTTTCAATTGGTATTCTATTGTTTAACAGTGCGATTAAAACTGCGGTTAATTGCAATTAATTTTTTTACTCACAGTTAATTTTTTTTTTGTTAATCACGTGAGTTAACTGTGATTAATCAACAGCCCTAATGATATTCAGTAACCCCGCAGGGTTGTTTCTACCAAACAACCGCCATCAAAATTTGGACAAGACAGAACTGTTCCTTATCTTCAGTCCACCTTGAAATTTTGATAAAACCACTTGCAATCTTATTCAATAATCATCTTAATGTTTGGGGCATTAAAACAGGTACCATCACAAGCAGGTACCCTGCTTGCAGATAACCTTTTAATTTACTTTCCCACTCACTGAAATATTTAAAACCTAAACTGCATTTGGGAGATATACAAGGCTCACAATCAAGTGAAGGAAGATTGAAATATATCATATGAGCCAACAGTACTTTCCAGTTCCTCCTTAGTATTAGAATCCAGATTAGGTGCTGATCATAAATATAAACCAAGATTTTTTTAACAACTTATTACACTTCAATTCTATACCAGTTCTGGATAAAATTCCTCATTGGAGAGAGATGAGGATATCCTATCTATGCCTAACTGTCAAGTAAGGTGCAGTCTTGTTCTTTCTAAGTATTTTTTCCCATCTGTCCTCTAATTATTTAAGAAACCACCAATAAAAGTTAATTTATTTGAATAAATAATAATAATAAAAATTTTGGCAGTAGCATTGCCGTTCATCTGAATATGTAATTCCTTGGCTTAACCAGGAACAAACCCCAAAGATGGTTTGTCTGTAGCCTGTTCCTTTGTCAAGGAATGCTACCTAAGTCGTCATATGAAAATCTCTAAATTCGGGTACAGATGAGTAATCCAGGATAAAGAAAACCATCTCGGAACCATTAACAGTTACCTTTGAGAACTCATGGAGGACATATTTATCATTTTTAAAAGGCCTTCATTCCTGGGCAATTCTTAAATAGTAATAACTCGTAATTTTGGGGCAATAATAACTACAAAGACCTGATTCTCGTTAACACTAAACCCTGTTTGTATTTCTCTGGCATCCACTGGCATCAAAAGAGGTCTTAGTGTACATGAGAGATGGGCCCAAAATTATTACATATAATTTACTGTACTAAACAATAAAACTTGAGTCACATAACGGTTGTGCCACCTCTGTGTAGTGTCTCGTACCTCTATCAGGTAACTTGCACAAACACGTGGGACCACCCTGTGTTTCCAGATTTACTCTGAGTATTACATAGCATATACTAAAATTATCACTCGGAAAATCCCCTTTACCCCATGATCTGTCTGCTATGTCTTTTCATAAGTGAACCAAAACACAAATATAAAACGGTTTGTGTATTTGGCTTTCCTTCTTACTAAACATAGAATTTGTCTACAGTGGAAATCAATATATCCCCTTCCATATCTGACTGGTTTAAGGATATTAAAAACATAATCCCTCTCAAGAAATCCTATTTTCCTGCAAAAGGAAAGGAAACACACTTTAGTTGGGTCTGGAAGTACTTTATTAATACATGTGACATTCAATCACAGTAAACTGTATAACAAAGTAGATGGGCACAATTGTCTTCTCACAGTTTTCTGGTATATTTTTAAAAGCGTTTTACTATGGTTAATATATTGTCTTTAATTACTTATGAACAATTATTTGACTTGCAATCATTATGTATTTTTCCTCTCTGAATTAACTCTTCCACTCATCCCAATTATATGTAATATCTGCAGCTTGTTTATAACCATTTTTGTTATGTCCCTGTTAATTCCTGTAAAATGTGAAACTGCTTGAAGAGAAATATTTAAAACTTTTTTTAACTGAAGAGAATGGTCAGAATGTTTAATTTGCTGTTTCATTTAATTGTTTTTTAAATGCTTATTAGCTCAACTTTTCAGACACAACCAAATTCATCTCTAGAGTAACTGCTGAAATAATTATGTTAAACCAGGATAAATTTGGCCCAATATATTTTTTGTTTTTTAAATGCAAGTAAAATTAGGGGGAGGTGAAATGTGGTAGGTAAACAGGGACATTTGTAATTAGGAACACAAGTTGTATAATCATGAACAAACATAGATAATTTTAAGTGGTCAGTACTAGAGTTGGGGGTGCCATTTGCTACAAATAAGAATTTTGTTGAAAAAACAACTGTGAATCCCTATTAATAGAATTAGATACCAAAGTTTACTGATCTGATTTATGTTTATCTCCTTTAAGAACATTTTTAATATATTGAATACAGGTATTTCTTGTCAAAAAAATCTCAGGATCAGATGCTAGACAGCTTTATGCAATGAAGGTATTAAAAAAAGCCACACTGAAAGGTAAGTAATTAAAATAACCATTTATGGAAAGTGATGTACATATGAACCAAACCTTAATCTTTGCAAACAAAAATATAAATATAGATACTGTTGAAAGAGTTAGTTCAACAAAGATCTTTTATGTGCATGCTTAACTTAAATTCTTAACCATCAAATAGGACAAAAAGTACCATCTTTGTATTATAAACACAAAAGGATTAATAAATGAAAGCATCACATTTGTAGAATTTTTAATGAAAACCGTTCTTTCCGTGATAGGTTCTGATCAACTTGTTTGTTGTCATCCTGTCAGAAACCCATGTTCACTAGATATGAAATTTCTAAATCTTTTACTACAAACTTAATTATAATGTAGTTCGGTAATCCTTCTTGAAGTAATTAGTATTAAAATCCGTGTCCCTTACTGAAGCACTGCATAGGCATAATAAATGTTTCATCAAGGTAGCTGTGCCACATCATTACTTCTGGTTAGTTGACTTGATCCTGGACATGTTAATAGATACTTATTAAATGGCATATTTCTGTTCTCCAAAATGCTGTGTAACTTTTGGATAAAGTTTCTTGCCTTTTGGTGAGGTTAAGAGATCAAATTACGTTTAGTTTGTGATGTTGAAAAATCCATTAATACCTCTTTTATTATAAAATTGAGTATTTTTGTACAACAAAACCCACCAACTTTATAAAAAGAAAAATTCAGGAATATAAATATATAAGAAGATTGTGCTTATATGTTTTGGAGAAAAGAGGAAGCTAATTGTATTTCCTCTTCCCTAATCACTCCCCATACACACATGCAGAGTGACCCCCTGGAAAAGGATAGGAGTCTTAACATTTTATAGTCTTCCAGATACCATATTTTGTATGATTGAATCTCTACTTGTCACAGATCCACAGGATAGAAGACTCCTATTCGGAGACCTTTCCCTTCTTCAGGAGTCAATGCACCTCAGCAAGTATTTGCAGTGACACCAAGCAACCTTTTCAAAACAGAATAGGGTTCCATAGTGAAATGGAATATAGCATCAGGAAATCCTTAAGTTAAACATCAAGATATAGTTCATACTGGCCAATTCCAGGGCTCCCTTGAACCAGGCTGCTGTAGGAACTATCTTGGTTTCCTGTCTCTGTCTCTTTGTCTTCATTCCAGGAGAGCGCTCTGTGTGTATCCCTGAGCCCAGTTCTTATCGCCTCCTGTCACCTCCCTCCATTGCCTTCCTCCTGAGTTCATATGTGCTCCACCCACCCAAGCTGGGAGCCTCTCATTGATATGTCAGTTGTTCAGTCCTTGGGGTTTCCCTTGTCTTTGTAGGGCGTTCCATTGATATGGGTTGGTCTCAGCCAGTAATAAATGATCCGTTCATATCACCCAAGAGAGTTACGTGACAAAATGCCTCCTGTTTCCTGCTCTTTACACTCACACATAGCAATACCAAGCACAGAGTGAAACTGAGGCACATATTGGAATCATAACTATATTACCAAAATTCCCACATTTGGTCCATTTGGTTCCATAGTTAAAGTTTGAGCTTAAAGTAGGAATTTAACTACTTCTTTTTAATGTATGAAGAATACAGCAAATCCTCTCCAAAAATATAGGACTTGCTCCAAAATAGGAGGAATTTTCTAAGAATTTATAAGTAAATTCTCTAATTAGCTTGCTTTAAAATTATTTTTTAAATGGTTCCTTTTTAAAAAAAAAAAAAAATTTAGGCGCCTATATCAGTGCATTTTTTTTGTCTTAAATATCTGTAATGAAATGACACGCTAAGGCACCTGAAAATCTTAACTCTATCCTGTGGACACCATGAGGAAGAAAAACAAAAAAATCTAATTTCCTAAAAATCAGAGTATCTTTTCTAACTGCAAGTACAGTCTCTCCTCAGCTATCCTGGGGGTAAACTGTCAGTTTTCTGTGGGAGCATTAACAAAAATTTGGTTAAAACAGTGGATTTTTGGTTTTTATCAAGAAGACTTCATATTGAATAGTTATATCACCAGTGGCCCAGATTTGGTGGTAGTATTTATCTGGTCCCAAAGAAGAGAAAATGCAAGAAAGAATTTGTTCTCCTTTTTGTCTTTGTTACTTTGTGTTACTAGGAGGAGCAGGTTACCTTCATCCCAGACCCAAAGCATCTTAAACAATTTGTTTCCAGAAAAAATTTAGAATGGCATATAAACTACCTTTTAAAGACAGTCTGTGACTGAGATATAAGTTGTTACAGATTTGCGCTCTTGGGTCTTAAGCTTCAAGTGCAAGACTTTCAGATGTCTTAGGCAAACCAAAGATGAAGAATTTTTGAGAATCCTAACACCCTGTCCAGTGCATTTCTCCCCTGCTTGTGCCTCAACTGATATTGCATTTTCAGCTATGGCTGTCAGAGGAGTTCTCAACTGACTGATCCTCCTTCAAGCGTTTGGCCATTAAAATTGATGTATTTCAGTGTTTTTAAATGATTATATATATATATATATATTTGTTTGTTTATTTTTGGAGGGGATTGGCCGTTCTTTTGTGGTGTACAAGATGCTTTGCCTCTAGCAGCTTTGTCCTATTCTTTACATCCTTTTTTAGACATTGGTTTCCTCCCATTAAAAATCACTTCAGTGATTTTGAGACTCCTGCCTGGTTGTGGCCCTGAGTGGGGTAGCAAGTTATATTCAGATGCTACATCACTGGGTCTTTTGGAACGTGAGTAATGAGTAATAGCCTTCTCTCCATCAGTAGAACAGATGTTATGTCAAAAGCAGGAATTTTGATGCAGCAGCAGCACTGCAAAAATCATCAGGAAAAGGATCTAGTAGATTCTAGAGTGTGTTTTAAGACACTAGAAAGCACTGCCTGTGAGTAATAGGCATCGGCTAAAGACACTGCATTGTCCCCTGGGAAGTGGGGGACTGCACATTGGGAGAGGTCTTGTAGATCTCTTTAGTAGTTAAGACTCGGGCCTTCATACATCTTGTAATTGCAGTGCCTCACAAGCATGAAGCATTGACACAGATGGGTCCTTGGCCTTCAGACATTGCCCAGAACTGACAGGAAAACCAAGATACTACACAAATGGGTTGCATTGATGTAATTAAACTGCCTTCTTAAACTGATTTAGTTAATCCAGTGCAATATTTGTATATAATAGAGACCTTTGATGCACCTTTAACCTTATGATTTAAAGTACCAATACAATAGTGTCTTCTGACCAAAGATGTTGCCTTGTTTTTTGCCTCTGCCAGCATCTGAGGCCTGGGGATTCCACGACCTAAAGGGCAAGGACTTGCTATAGAGGATGCCACAATACTCAAAACATTGTGCTTGAACCTTAAGACTCAAGAATCTGATTCTGTTACAACTTACATCTTAGGACAAGCAGAGTTGCATGTAAATAAATTATTCCCTTCTGTGAAATTAATCCATTTTGAATACTGATGACAACTCAGTAATAATTTGTTTTGAGATTTAATGTCCCCTGCATTTAAAAAAATGGTTGGTTTGCCTAAGACATTTTATATTGTTTCCATCTTGGTTTCTTTCAGTCAACTATTCTCTTAATCCAGAGTCAGAGGCATTAGTACCCTTTAAAGACTGCTTGCTAACTGTAGGCAGTTTACATGCTTTATCACCTCCTATCTATAGGAGAGAACCTTCAGGGAAATGCAACTACAGCGGCCAGAATGCATTGTTATTATACATTCCAACCTTTTAGTGTTTGCAGTATATTCAGGAGTAAACTGATAGCCTCGATTGACATATGTGTTTTTAAGAGTCTCAATGGTGCCATAGCGTTGGATGGATATCCTTTGATTGTAGTTTGTAAAAATCCAAATAAAAAGATGATTTCTGTTCAGCTTATATCAGTTTAAAGCTACTTCTATCAATATAGTTTATTATTAAGCTGCTTATAAAATACACTTTGTACAGTAAACCTGCATTCACACCAGTGGGTTGTACCACTTTAACTCTGTTTCTAAACTGATATAGTTACAGTACAAAAAAGTGTGTAGATCAGAGTATAGTGCTGTTGGAGTTCTTGGTTACAGATTTTTAATTTTTTCCCCAGGTTTCAAGTAGCAACAACTTGAGACTTGAGCAAGTCCCAGTTTTTAGTGAGATTTTAAGGAAACAATGTATAGTGAAGTAGGTTCTCCACACAGTCTCACAAATTTGTCTCTGCATGGATGTTACTGAATGGCATAGCGTTGTAATAATTAAACTAAAAATATACAAGGAGAAGTAAATTAGGGAAATGTAAGGAATAGTCTGTTCTCAATATGAATTATAGTTTGTGTTCATGTTGTAGTTCGAGATCGTGTTCGGACAAAAATGGAACGTGACATCTTAGTGGAAGTTAATCATCCTTTTATTGTCAAGTTACACTATGGTGAGTTATATAAGATGAAATCTTATTTGCATGTCACTGTGGTGACAACAATTCAAATATCTTTGCAAAGAATCAGAAATTAGAGTTGGTCATCTACACCCCAATCCTGCAAAAGTTTATTGCACAAACTTAGCTTTACACACTTCGAATAGTCGCCCTAAAATCAATTTTACAATTTTGAGTGCATAAAGTTAAGCACATGAGTAAGTCTTTGCAGAAACTGGGACTTTAGTCCATCCCTTTATAAGATGAACGTATGTCAATTTAATCTATCTGGTATTTTTAAAAAAAAGATTTCAGTTTGTACACCTGTCTATCACACTTTTCTGTTTTTAAAATATTTTTCATCCCTGATTGTTCTATAAAGACTAACATGTACAAAAGTGCCTAGTCCCATTCCCGTCAAAGTCAGTAGAAATACTCTTACTGATTTCAGTGGCAACTCAGTTATTTAGAGGAAGGAGTGAAAATGACTCTATTCAATATTCTGTTAACTATACGTAGTAAACTGCAAAAATAGAGAAAAATATATTTTCTGATCTTTCAGTTATAGCAATGCAAAGTTTTATTTGTAACAATAGTTGCTACAAAACGTTCAGACAGAAGTGATTTTTTTTGGTTCTTAAGTTGATAGTGCCCCTTTAATATCATTCCCTACAGTGTATTCTTCAGTGTTTTGTCAGTCCTGTTTCCATGTGATTACAGTACAGTGTAATACATCTCTGTATTAGGTTGAATATCTCATAACACTCACTTACATGATGTACGTTAAATGTATTAGCATGCTCACTTAAATCTGACTTTTATTATCAATATTTGGAAAAGGAATGCTGACTAGCCAAGCTACATTTTCAGTGGCATAAAGTTTATTGGTGATCTGCCTTTATTTTTTTTCTTCTGACATAACACTGATTTGTTTAAAGGTAGAATTTATTTAATTGAAGTGACTAGGAGAGAGAAAGTCAGGTTGTTTTGGTAATGGGAACAATGGTAAATTCTGGTAAACATATTCTTCTGGTCATAGGTAAAAGTATGAATTAGCTACTTATTGAAATTGTTTTTAATGGGTCTTTTTCAGCTTTTCAAACAGAAGGAAAGCTATACCTTATTTTGGATTTTCTCAGGGGAGGAGACTTGTTTACACGCTTATCCAAAGAGGTAACAATTTTTTTCACATTAAACATATGGTTAATTGTGGTCTTCTACTGATCTGTGTCGGGGAGGTATATCAGGAGAATTTACCTTCATGTTCTTGATTATTAAAAATGTGGTTTTCTTTAAACAGATCTTAGAAATAAACATATATTTCTATTCATGCTCTTCAGGAGGTTTTTGTTTTTGTTTGTTTTAGCTTTGAAAGAGTGCTGTCATAAGAATGTTGTTAATTGGTTACTCCCAAGGTACACTTCAGCAATTAGATTTCCCATATTGCTCTTGTGCTTTCTCATATACCCCACCAACCTGTTTAAATAACTTGCCTTGCAAAGTATACAGCGCTATAGAAATATGATTATACAGGGAGAATATCTATTGCAGTAGTTTGAGTGTATTTATTGACATCTATATTTATGCTAAATGGATCTGTATTATTATTAGCCTCCCTCCCAAAAGTGCTGTGCATTTTATAAACTTTAGGTGAGCAAGATTCGTAATCCTTATCCTAAGCTTTAAAAAAAAAAAACAAAACCCCACACACACATTTTTAGCCCTTATGGTCATGAAGATAACTTTCCAAACATGAGCCAAATGTAACTGATGCAGTGATGTCTGTCTGACTACACTGTGATCAAGAGGTGTGATTGTAGCTTGTATAGGTTACCTTCAACAATGCAACTTCAACCCTGATGAAGCTTGGAAAGCCAAATGGAGTTCACAGGAAGTCACAAATAAACACCTTGTGAAAGATCCACCACAGAAGATCACTGGCTTTGATCTCCCATGAAGCTCATGGGCAACCCTAAATCATATTTGTGCAAACCATGGTAGATGCGGATACTTGCTGCACAAATGGAAAATTAAAGATCTCCAGTGTGCAGCTGTGGTCACCCAGAACACCATGGAACATATAACAACTTGATGCCCAATTCACAAATACGAAGGAGGCATCACAGCAGTACACTCTACTACTCCAGACTCAATTATCTGGCTTAACCATCTGAATGTAAAATTATAATTATTGATCTGCATTTACATCAGCCATATGAAGAAGAAGAATGTAGCTTGATCTAGCTAGATCATAGCTAGATTCTTCTTCTTCATATGGCTAATGTAAATGTAGATCAACAGTCTATCAACAACCATGCCCAGTATCCTGGATATGTACTCAGGAGGCTAGCCCTTGCTGCTACCCATGCTGCCACAGCTACACAGCTGTTGCCAATCGTATGCAGAAACGTTGTTATATTTATACCACAATCCCTAATCATGTTTCATGTCTTTCTGGTGGCCAACAGTCCCAATTTTACCTCCCATCTGCCAAACACTTCATCTTTTCTGAAAGAGTCTAAAACTGTGATTCTCAACCAGAGGTCCGGGGCCCCCTGGGGGGCTGTGAGCAGGTTTCAGGGGGTCCGCCAAGCAGTACCAGTGTTAAACTTGCTGGGGCCCTGGGCAGAAAGCTGAAGTCCCACTGCCGGGGCCCTGAGCCCTGCCACTTAGGGCTGAAGCAGAAGCCTGAGCAACTTAGCTTCGCGGTGTCCCCTTTGGCATGGGGCCCAGTAATGTAGCTAGGGAGGGAGCGGGGCAGCGGCCGCTCCCCCACTGAGCAGAAGTGGCGCCTTTTTCATTCTTTGGCACCTTTTTAAATTTTTACTCACCCAGCGGCGCTCTGGGTCTTCTGTGGTGGGTCGGGGGAGTGGGGATATAAAAAGGTGCCACCCCCTGGTACTCATCCGGTGGCACTCCGGGTCTTCAGCAGCACTTTGGCGTCAGGTCCTGCACTCGCTCCGGTCTTGGGCACTGAAGGACCACCACCACAATGCCGCTGAAGGCCGGAGCGAGTGCAGGACCTGACACCGAAGTGCTGCTGAAGACCTCGAGTGCCGCCGGGTGAGTACCAGGGGTGGCACCTTCTTTTTTTTTATCTCCACTCTCCCTGTTTTTTCCACCTCGTTATGCCACTAATGGGGCCCTGGGCAATTGTCCTGCTTGCTACCCCCTAACGCTGGCCCTGGCTTTTATATGCAGAAAACCAGTTACCTTGGCACAGGTGGGCCATGGAATTTTCATAGCATGTTTGGGGGGCCTCAGAAAAAAAGGTCGAGAGCCCCGGTCTACAATACAGTTCCTGCAAGCTACTTTAGGTTCAGCTTGTTCCACTTACTTGGGCCCTTGGCTATAATTGAAAATTTTGAGCATCTGTCCTCAATTTACATGCTCCTTGCTGGCTTCTCAGTATATCACCTTCCTGCTAGTGGCTTTCCAACTTCAGCCACTCCACATATACAGAAATTCTAAGGGTCTTGGTTAATGTTTTCACCAGTATGGGAGCTGGCCCTATTTGGGATTTAAATCTGTTTCCCACAAATGTGTTGTGTTTCAAGTGGATCAAGTTGTTCATTGAGATTCCCAGAGAGACTTAAGGCTCATTACTGTAAGTTATTGGTGTATTTGCCTAATCTAATCTGTAGTACTGCTGCATGACCTTTTACTCATGCTTTCATACAGCATTGTTCTTTTGATTTGCCATCTACTGGGGAGTAGTTCTGCAATTATGTTTTATTAGATCTCAGTTTCCTTCTTGGGGATTGTATTGACTGTTGTTTTTCTCTAGCTATTCGCACTAATGGACGTTTATCTCAAAAGTCACTCACTAGTAACAGTTCTTTGAGTATAGTGCCTCTTCATATTTACACTTCTTGCTTGCCATCCCTCTTGTTTAGAATGTCTCTCTCTCCTTGTCTCGAGTTTAGTGCATTTGTACCTCTAAAGCCCTGTTATAGTCTTGGGCCCAAATGTTCAGATCCACAAGGGGGCACGCACACTGCCTCACTTTCTTTTACAGGGTTTCCAAATCTCTGTGATGCCAGCATAATACATGTTCTTCAAGTGATGGTCTGTGTTGTATTCCACTGAGGGTTATATGCATGTGCCGTACAGCCAGAGTTGGAGAATTTGCAACTACTAGTGGGTTTTTTTAGGTCCACACATGTCACCATGCTCTATCTCATGGTTTCATCCAAGATAATAAAATGTAGGGCAGACCGACTGAACCCTCAGTTCCTTCTCACCACCAAATGGTCTGAGTCGGAACTGCTAGTGTCCTCTCGTCCTTCTCTGATGCGCTTGGGGGGGGTGGGGGGAACTGTGTTTAGAATTGTACTTAGTTTTTTCAGTAGTTTTAGTCTTAGTGCCAGTTTTTAGGAATTAAGAGACTGTGGGGACTGTTTCTCTGATTCCCACACCTCAGCACCCAAACTTGGGTACTGGATTATGCTGAAAACACCAGTGTTCAAGATCTGTGCATCCTGCCCATGTTCATTCTCGGACAATGATGAGAACCAATGCTGCCTGTACTGCTTGGAAGAAGCTCACATTTCATCCAGGTTCGGTATGTGCCTCTCCTTCTCAAGCTGAGCTCAGAAAGACTGGGCTCTCTGCTTCAAGAAGCACCTCATGGAGGTTGCCATGAAGCCACAGTTGGATACAGCCAAGAAACCACCCTCTTCACATCGACCTGAGAAACCCAGGAGCATGTCTCCGACCTCAGAGATTGAGTCCAGTACCACCAGTACTCCCCATGCCGGGGTCTAGTCATGAGGCAAGGAAGCATGCGCTTAAGCATGGCAGTAAGTCTTCCTCCAGGCCCAAGAAGCATGATGCAATGAGTTCCAGCCACAGAGAAGCAGTGCGTTCCAAGACTCTCAGGCACAAGAAGTCACACAAATCTTTGGATCTGCCGGTTCCATCCACCAAGTCATTCACGACTTCCAAGTCAGCACCCCTTAAGTCAAGGGGACTATTGGTCCCAAAGCAGTCATCCATTCTCCCTCCACTTCTGACTGCAGAGTGTGGCCACTGACACCAGGGAGGTTGAAGTCGCACCTGGACCCCATGAACGTCTTGCTTTGGGTGAAGGAAGGTCTGCACAGCTTCCTCTACAGTCAGCACCTAGGGAAGTATGCTCTTCTACCCCAGACCTACCTCACTTGAGTCTTGCTTCTTCAACTTGTTTGAACTGTCTGGCACACCCCAGACACTTGTGCACCCACTCCCAAGGGGGCAGAGAAGAGGTATTGCATTCCAGCTAAGGAGTCTGAGTTTCTGTTCTCTCACACACACTGTGAATCACTTAATTCTCTAGTGATACAAACAGCAACAGCGTGAGTCAGGTAGCAGCACCCTTGCTTCACCCCAGCAGACAAGGAGGGCAAACAACCAAATCTTCTGGGGCACAAGGTCTTCTTGTCTGGTAGCCTTCAATTTCGAATTTCCAGTTAGCAGGCGCTTCTAGCTAAATACGACTTTCTCAACTATGGCAAGTTGGCAGACTTTGCAGACAAGCTTTCTCAGCAGGACTGTGCCCACTTCCAGGCTATCTTGGAGAAGTTGGTCATGAGGACTTAGCATCTGCTTCTTCCACGATGGACTGGAGCAGCTTCTCACACAATGACCATGGGGATCTCATGAGGAGGGAATCATGGGTGTATTCATCTGGTTCTCCCAGGGAAGTTCATAATGCTATAGAGGAACTTCCTTTCGATGAGTTACATGTCTTCAATCAGAAGACCAACGATTCCCTCCACTCCCTCAAGGATTCCAAAGTCACTCTATGATCCGTAGGCATCTACATGCCAGCACCCAAGTGGAAGTTCTTCCGTCCACCACCTGCACAGTGGTTCAGAGCTCCTCAGTTCTTCCATCAACAGCCCTACAAACCTCCTCACCAGCAGCAGAAGACTCAAAGATCCCATCTTCAGGTCCATTGTCAGTTTTCAACATCACATGCATCACAAACAATTATTTCTGTTTCAGAGTAACAGCCATGTTAGTCTGTATTTGCAAAAAGAAAAGGAGTACTTGTGGCACCTTAGAGACTAACCAGTTGATTTGAGCATAAGCTTTCGTGAGCTACAGGTCACTTCATCGGATGCATACTGTGGAAAGTTTAGAAGATCTTTTTATATACACACACAGCATGATAAAATACTTCCTCCCAC